CTTATAGGCCGCCCAGGCCTCTCTGGTCATCCGCCGAACGAGGGCTCGCTTTCCAGACAGGTCAAAATCGGCGAAATTTAGGTTGTTGTCATCGTCCCCGCCCCTTTTGTGCTTGAACTTCAAATTGGAGGCAATCATCAACGAGCCGAGGACAAAGATGACCAGCAGGCTGAGGCCGACGCAGAGGACCGTAGAGCAGGCTCGCTCCTTTCTCTGTCGACTTTTGATGCCGTTGATTAGCTTTTGAAAGGCGGAAGTTGCGGAGGAGCTTGAAGTTGAGTCAGTGTCAAAGATCAGCGTTGCATCGTCCGCCTCAAAGGCGCCAACTTGCGCAGAATGGCCGTCCAAAACCTCGTAGTGAACGTCGTAACGGGACATTTTGAAAAAATTGACTAATAAAAATTTAAAAAAATTAGCCAACTGGTAAATCAGAGATCAGAAATCACTTACCTAGGCGTTGGCTGCCGCCGCTGGTGGTTATGGCACTGATTTACAAGAGAGAGATTGAAGAACGTTTCAACGTTGAGTTTTAGCTTGAGCAAACTGCTGCTGCTGCCTACTCTTCTTCACCAGGCGTCACCATCATTGATTTGGTAGACGAGAACGACGACGACAACGACGACGACGACGATGCCAAACAACTGATAGAGACGGTGTGTTCAGTGTGTACGGCAGAAAAATGTTGAGAGCTGTCGGCGACACAGTTTCACTGTCGTGCAAAAAAAACGTGTACGTTGAGGATGGCTTGAGGATGCTTTTGTTGTTGTGTCGTTTTGCAACTTGCACCGTGTCGTTTTGCTGTTGTTGTTGTTGCTAGGTTCTTGTTGTTGTTGTTGCTGTTCACTCCTACAGGTAGTATTTGCCGCTGCTAAGCAGCCTGCTTGTTTTCATTTCGGCTGCCGCTGTGCGTTGTGTTGTACGGTTGTGCTGCTCTCTCTCTCTTCATTTGCTGAACATGCTTACCTGGCTAGAAAGAGTGAGCTGAGTGAGCAGAGTGAGCAGCATTCGAAGGTCATTTATTTTTCTTTTTGCTGTTGCCGAACACTAAACGTATAGCTGCCTGGCAGCTCACTTTCTCTTTTTCTCTGCTAAAGATGATGAAGAAAAAGAAGAAGAGAAAAAGAAGAAGTACGCTGCAAAGGTATTTTATTTCCTTGGTGTAAGTGAGTGTGTGCTTGTGCTTGCTTCTGTCCTACAGGTACGCCGTTTTTCTTATTATATAATTGTGGAAACTTTTTGCTCGTTTTCTAATTAGAATAATTAAAGAGGGGTTTTATATTGAACCAAAAGTAGGTAATTTATTCATTTTTATTATTGTTTTGTAATTGTTATGGTAATTAAAAGGTGAGTCTAAAAAAGTTAGCTTAAAGCTTATGATATAAAAACTTTAAAAATACAATAAAAAATGCAATGAAAACGCATTTTTAATCGTTATGTTATTATAAACTAGTTCAAAATNACGAGTCATAAAGTTAGCTTAAAGCTTATGATATAAAAACTTTAAAAATACAATAAAAAATGCAATGAAAACGCATTTTTAATCGTTATGTTATTATAAACTAGTTCAAAATAATTTCGTAAAAAAAATTCAATAAAAAAATGATGATTTAAAATGAGAAAAATAAAGTTGCAGTCGCAGTAGTAGTAGTAGTTACTAAACTCTCAACTACCACCACCACCACCACCACCACCAACAGCAACCAACCAGCAAGTTTCACCAAAGTCGGCACTTCTTCCTCGGATTCATCCTCGAGCCTAGCGGACAGCTGAAGGCGGCGGAAAACTGCTCCAGGTTACTCAGCGGCACATTGATGCGGTACTCCCCGGGCAGGTGGGCGTAGTGGTCAATGCGCATCTTCCTCGCCTTCACGCGGTAGTGGCCGCACCACATGTGCGCGTAGGAGAGGAAGAACGCCTGCTGGGCGGTGAACTGCTCCAGGCCGGGCAGCTTTTGCGTCCCATTTTTTTTGCTTCCTTTTTTCTTCCTCAAGCTCGCCTCCATCGCCAGGGTGGCCATTCGCAGGCCCCCATTGTCGCTGATGTTCTCCCCCAGCGTCCGGGTGCCGTTCAGGCGGACGCCGGTGATCGGATCCACAAAGGCCTCGTACTGCGCCACAAAGCACTTTGCCCCGGTGGAGAACCGCTGTCGGGTAGTGCCGGACCACCAATTGACCAGGTTGCCGTTCAGATCGTACTGGGCGCCCTTGTCGTCAAAGTGGTGGGTAATCTCGTGGCCTATGACGGCGCCGACGCCGCCGTAGTTGAGGTAGGCGGGCACCGTAGGGTCGAAGAAGGGCGGCTGAAGTTCGCCGGCGGTTATTGCTGGAAAAAATGTTGGCAAAAATTTTGTTATTAAAGCAAACTCCACTCTAAACTCCACCTCACCAGCTTACCAATGGCGTTCTTCGCGTGGGCGGCAAAGGCGTTCACCGCGGAGGGCGGCGCCAGAAAGTCCCGCTTCACATCCGGCTTCCGGTGCAGCTCTGCAAAGTGGACGCCAATGGCTCGTCGGGTCGCCTCGACGACCGCCGAAAAGTACTGCCCCCGCTCCACCTGGACGTAGTCCTTATCAGTGAAGTGATAAACTTCAGTGTCGAGGGCGGTGTCATTCAGCAGCCAGTCGGGGTAGGCGACGTAGTAGTGCGTTTTGGCTGCTTTTTCTAAAGCTCTCTTTCGAGTTGGTTCATCCAGCCAGTCGACGTCCCGCTTGAGGACCACCTCGCTGAAGACCTCTTTTAGATCGTTGACCACCTCGGTGGCCTTCTCCTTCGTTCCGGGCAGTACAAAGTGGTCGACGTAGAGGCGGCTGGCCGCCCAGCCGCCCACCGTGCCCAGGCAGTCCTTCCAGAGGGGCGTCATCTGGCGGACGCCGGTCTTCAGGCTGGCGTGGCGGAAGGCGAACTCCCGCATGTGACTATCAGTGGCGCCCACCCAACCGTAGGCCAACTTCTTTCCCAGGAAGTTGTGCAGCGTCAGAGGGGGCGTTTTCAGGAGAATCCGCGACAGCTTCTCATAGTAGCCCACATCTCGGACGACCACCTTGTCAGTTCGGTGGAAACGATAGGGGAGTTTAAAAAGGGTCGCCAGCTCATTGAGGTAGACGGTGTAGTTGAGGAAGTTACCACCCGTTTTGGAGGTGAACTCCTCCAGGGTCATCTTGTTGTACCAGACGGTGGCGTTGCGGTCCTCGCCGGCGGGTCGGGTGGCCAGCGAAAGGGTCCGCTCAAAGGTGAACACCTCCTCGATGCGGGAGGTTAACTCCTTCTCCTCGGACTGCCCCAAACGGATAGTTCGATTGTTGCTGGCAAAGAAGAACAGGTGGCCGAATTCTTGAATCATCCGCCGGTAGAGGTCGACCTCGGCGGTGAAGGTGCCGTTGGCGTTTTCGAACTCCTTTCGGGGAAGGCTGAAGCCGGGCGCCAAAAACTAAAAAAAATTTTTTTAATTTAAAAAAGAGATTTTAAAGGGTCACTCACATTGATAATCTTTGACTGCGTATTCTTCGCATCCGTTCCCGGGTAGACGTAGGCGAGGTGGCCGACGCCCAGCTCGGCCATCAACGCCAAAGTGGTCAACAGTTTTCCGCCCTGAATCGCCTCCAGGCGGTCATCCCCTGGGAGCTGGTCCTCCCTTAAAACTGGCCACCCAGTGCCTAGGACTCGATGCACCAGCTTCCGGACCGGCTCCAGGCCGACCCGGTCCCGGGCCTCCATGTCCATGCACTCGCGGTACAAGTCGAGCACCAGTTGAACTGATTTCGCCTTTGAGGTTGTTGAAACTTTCATTTTTTCCCCAGAAAGAAAACTCTGGTCAAAAATGGTACGCATCGCCGCCTGTGCTCGGTTATTTGCCAGCGAGTAGGTCGTCTGGCTGGTCTCATCATCGGGAATCGGGTGAGACTCTACCCAGCCACCGCAGGCGAAATTATAAAAGTTTTCACATGGGTCAACGGAGGTGTTCAGCGAAGAGGACAGCTCACTTCCGGCCGCCAGACAGCCTGGAGTGGTGCAGAGCTCCTCCGGGTGGGTGAGAAAGAATATGAGAAGTCCGGTGAGGATGAGCAGGGCAAGGACGACGAGGAAGACGATGGCCAGAA